AAACATGCGGACACCACAAATTATCTCACTTTTGCAAGGTGTTTCGTTTTTCAATCACCCCGAGTAAACAATCCAGGTGGATTATATGAAACAACATAGTGCAGAAACAAGGCCTTTCAAGATGTACCATTTTTCCATTCTCAACTCGGATTGGTCAAACACGTAACGTCATTTCTCCAAAAATTGTGAGAAATTAGTTGAATGAATCCAAAAAAATTGAGTATCTTTGTTGAAGCACTTAAAAAACCGGCGTAAGAACGACGATCTTTCCGTTAGCTTTCAAGTGGTGCACAATATTGCCAGTCCATAACAGTCGAAAAAGAAAGTCATTCAATGGACCGATATTTTTATGCTAGTGGTCTCTGAAGGCCTTAATTTTGTCTAAGATCTTCCAGTGTTATTATGAACGATTTTCAATGGCAACTGACAGATAGAACGTTCTTATTTTCCTGGATCTCCCTCATCGTGGCTTGTCTCACAAAAGTTGCAGAAATTGGCTCATCAACCAAGGACACCAACATGAAGTAGAGAATACGACGGTCATCATAAAAGATTAAGTTATGCCTCACCAGATCTGCTTCTTCCATTCATCCCTTTTAGAGCAGTGCGCATCATTTCTTGGCTACAATGGCACTTGAAATAGCAACCAGCTTCAAGTCAGTCTATTTCTAGCGAATTCATTCAGAACATTACCAAAATGTAGCCTTCGCCAAGCTACAGAGACGACACGGGTACCCCTGCTAAACAAGCACCACAAAATTGCGGCAGCTAATCAGCAGTGAGACTAAATTAGCCTCGGAAGACAATGTGTACTAATTGGGGATTTTATCGGTTGAACTTGGTAACCATGCCACCCAAATGTAACATCCAGATCCAAAAAATGAATCGCTTCATTTGTACCAGGTAAGAAACTACACGTCTCACAGTTTTGCAAACGAATGTCAGAATAGCTAGAAAACCGGATCGCACTAATGACCCAATCATGTCTGAGGACAAGATCAACAGACCACATGTTCACCTGCACCGACTGTAACTTGCTTCCACACCAAAGGCATTCGCAGGTTACAATCGGTTTGTACAGACGCACTATGAGTACCTAGTACTCAACTCAGTGAGTACAGCGGAGTAATTTGGTGGCGTACACATGTTACGAAAAAATGTCATCTGGGTGAACAGTACTGTTGTAGTAAGTCCACGGTCGGTGCACTACCTCACGTTTAATTAAATGCTCTGGTAAATTACCAAAGGCCTAGTCCGGCCTGCCTCCATACGAGAATATGGATCCTATTCTTAACTTGACAAACGGACTACAATCCTTTCATCGTTCGTACACAATACACCAACATCCAAATACTGCACACGATCTGATGCTGCCAATCACCTCGCCTGCATCGGACCAGCTTTCATTGTCCTACTCTTTTGGTAAACTCACCCTGTCCTGAATACTTCCCTCCTTGTTGGTCGGAATGCACATCCGTCTCATCAGTCGAACTCACTGAGCAATTTCCGGTATTTTTGCTACGAATCGCCACCGCACAACACCCAGCTTCATTCATCCTCTCTTGACTGAATTTGGAGCTGATCTGTGTGACTATTAGAACTTTAACATGTTTCTGCTGTGATAGGAATTCCTAGACGATTCATACGCTCCCAGCAAGGATTTATACACACTGTATCCTTGATTGCTTGAGTAGACTAGCCTAATACTAGGTAACCTAAAGGAATTTGGCTTATCGTAGTATTTAGCTCTCTACACAACTAAACCGAACTGCTTCACGTGAGTCGACGGTAGATGTTGATTGATACGCACTCAAGACACCGAAAATGAGTAAACATCTGTGATCAACTCTACCTCATCCATACGATGCACGTCAAGCATGACAAATTGCCTTGGACTTTTATAATTAAGCCTTCCACCTCTTTCTGGAACATTCAAACATGGTCAAAATGAACGTCGTCATTCCAAAAACTCCCCTTTAACACAAATCACGTCAAGTAACATTCAGTTTATAGAAAGTTGTATTGCGCGCACTGAATCTCCTCACACTGCATGAGACACATCATAGCTTTATAAAAAGTTAACATCGTTGAAAAAGATTAAAAATGGAATACTTGCAAACGGGTAGTTGACGAAGAACCTTTTTGCGATTTCTTTTAGTGACGTGGCTGTTTGATGACAAACGTGAGAGTAGATCAATATGAAGTGGTAAGACAGCTCACCAATGTCTCAGAAATACAACAGTATTAGCAAGCAGCTTCACTAATCGAGGTGGTACTGAGTAGAATCGGGTGGAAGCTCACACTACAACTTCATTGTCTTTTTGAGGGAAGTACGGACCATGGAACGAATTTCGGCGTTACTTTTTCGAATCATTGGCGCTCTCGTTATGGTACGCGGTGATTGCGCTGTCCTAAAGTGTCAGTAGCACTTCACTGAATTTTGTCCAAAATTATATAGGGTACAGTGAGCTTTACCTTACTTTATTCACCCTCCATTAAAG